ATTTACGTTTGACAGATATTAACCTTAGATTTTATACAGCTCACTTATGCAGCAATCCTTGTTCTTAAACAGTTGGATTTTTTTGTGTGTGCAGGATTTGATGTCATTTTTTTTTCTTATTATTCTATATTGTTCTAAATCTTTTCTGAAGAGGTCCCCAAATCTTTACATGCAGAGAGTGGAGTACTAAGGGTTGTTCTATTGTCAGGATATATTCAGTACAATCCAGCATACTTTAAAATGAAAAACTATTTAAACACTGACTGCCCCTTCTTACTGTGTAAAAGTAAAGGGGAGAAGTACTTAAAAGTCTTATATCATTTAATTCTTCCAGAAAGTGAGCTAGAAAATTCAACAACTGCTTCATCTTCAAGTAGTTCAGAGGAGAGCAAAGAGAGTTCTACAGCTCTGTCATCTCCAATATTACACAATGGAACATCTGGGGAAAAACGAAGTAACTTCAGGATTACTAGAAGTAGAGTGTATCAGCAAAAACAAATTGGTAAATATCTATCTATATACTACTAAAACTCTAAATTGCTTAAAACTTTTGCACAGTACTGTAGATATATATATATTTTTAAAATTGCCCCAATCTCAGGTGGACTGGGGGAATTATAGGAAAGTACATCTTAATTAATGCAACCTTGTACTTGTGGGCATGAAGTCATTTTGAATGTTTTATTGGATGCCATATAATATGAGATAGATCTTATTAAAGGAGAGTTCCTGGTGATAAATTGGACTTCAGATAGTTAGATTTAGAGCTAATAAGGCCAATACTTTCAACTGGCATCTGAAAACTAAATAGAGGTCTATTAATAAAACATGTTAGTGCATACATAGATACCCATCACACTACTCCCTTTTAGATTAAGGGATGTTATACAAAATACAGGAGAAGAGTATGTAGTAGTAAGCAAAAGAAATTAAAGGCAGGAAATTAGTGAAAAGACAAGCTCTGAAGGCTGCTCCTTCCCTCTTTGGACTGGGTCTTTAGGATGGTTCCATATAGCTCCTTCCTCCAGTCTGTTGTTCTTTAGCCCACCAGTGGCCCTTTTTAAGGTATCAATCAGCTGGTATGTCATTGCCAAAAATTGCTTTCATATGCTACTTTTCTTCTCCCCTTCACCTCAATCCCCATCCCTCAAACTGTTGCCAATGGGAAAGCCACTACTTCTGCCTGGAAGGCAGTACTTAAGACTGAAGGGAGGGATTTATTTCTATGAGACAGGTAGAAGTCTTAAGCCCTGCATTTTAGCTAGAAGTGAAATTAAGCCTTCTTGCTGGTAACCAGAAAGGTACTTCATAGTAAGTCCAACTGCTGGTCTAGCTTACATTAGTAGCATTCACTGTATCTCTCCATATCTTTCTAGCTTTCCAGCCATGCTTACTTTTACCATATCAATGCATCACATTCATTTTTACTCTTTATTCTTTAAAGCTTTTCACCTCTTTATGTGAATTTCATCAACTGCCTCTAACAACAACTTTCTCACTCTTCCTTTTTTTCTCAGCCCATTCACCTTTCATTTATTTATTTTGCAAAGTAATTAAATGCAAATTTGAAATCTTTATCTGCATGTATTCCGTCAATAAAATGTAACGGTGGCAAAATATTCCTCCAAATGTATTATAAAAGATTACAGAACCAACACCTACATTTACTAAAAGAAGGCCAGAACCCCAAAGCTTTGCATGGCTTAGAGTTTAGGAATAGGCAAAATTATGTTTTAAAACATTTCGCGTGTGTGTGTGTGTGTGCATTTATTTATTTATTTATTTATTTATTTACACGTCCAGCTTCGCAAGAGGATGCAGATAGCCAAAGGACTACTAGGAAAAGGATATGGCAGAGAAAAACTGATATTTCAAATGAGCTTTATGAAACTTTGAGAAATAGATGTAGTAGGCACAGAAAAATACCGCGTAGAAGTGCTACTGTGGCAGCCAATAAATTAAGAATGATGAGTGATGTAGAAGAAGAACTCTTCAGCTCAGAAAGTGGTGGCACCAGAAGCAAAAATAGAAAGCTACCTCATCGCAATGCTTCTGCTGCAGCCAGAAAGTTGTTATTAAATGATTCTGAGGAAGAAAGTTCCATGCATTCTGAAAGTGACAAAGAATTGGAAGAACAATCTGACAGAAGAAAAGCTTCTGAAACTGAATCTGTTGCTGCTAAAAAAAGGCATATTAGTGAATCTGAAAGTGGAAATTCAAATTCTGAGATGCAAAATACACCAAAGAGGTACCCTGCTAAAGATTGTAAAAAGCTATTGAGAACTGCTTGCCGTGTATCTCCCAAAATGAATCCCAGCCCAGAGTGTTCAGAAGATGACTCCAAAAGCTGTATGTCAGATGATGAGGACGTTCAGAAAGCTGTTCACCCGTTGTCTTCATACAAAAATAATGCCAGGAACAATTCCGAGACAGATTCTGAGCAAGAAGAATGCCATGTTTTACCAAAACAGACTTTTACAAAGACATCAGTTCGCTTCAGGAAAGCTAAAATATTAAGTGACTCAGAAGAAGGAGTGGAGTCAGGGAGGGATGATGGGACTCCTTCTTTTTCAAAGATCAGTGTCTTTTCTGAGGCTTCAAAACTTGCCCAAAATAGCTCATCTAATTTAGAATCTGGAACCGATAGCAGTCCCTCAACAAAAAGATGGAAAAGGAAAGGCATCAGGAAAGGTGATGTATTTTAAAATATATGAAGTATTAGGACAATGTTGTAATTTTATGCATGCTCCATAGTTTTCTTCTGGTGTCATTTAGCACAACAAACTATTCTAGATCCAGTGATTTATGTGCAATTTATACACTCTAATTCATCTCAGGAATACAACCTTAGTTAGTTGCACCAAACAAGTATATGTAATATATCGATCTAGATGTGCATATTTTTTAAAAATAATTTTAAGCAGTAGACAGTTACTGGTACAGGGTTAGGGTTAGTCTAATTCTGACTTTATTCCTTAGTTCTTCACCCCATAAAAGGAAGGAAGAGATTGATCCAGTTGCCACTACCGAATTTGAAGGAAGGCTTGAGGATAACAGCAGGAAGATCAAATGTGTGCTGAGCATCATTTGTGGGAAAGTCGGTGTAACTCAGTGTAGTGCAAGAAGTAACTGAGGGGATTGGGCTGGAAGCAATTACTGAAGTGTAGGAAAGCCAAGAAATTGGGCTAAGGTGGAAATTGACAGGTTAGAAGATGTATCTGTAACATATATAAGATATATCTTGTGTATATGTTACAAAGGATTGTATGTATCTGAGAAAGAACATTGTTGAATCAGCTTGGAAAAATGATTCTGAAAGAAAGAAAAACAAGTAATTGGTGTGAGTAGAACTTGCTTAAAAGAAATATGCAATGAAAAAATTTAGAGGGAGAATCTTAACTGAGAGGGAATATACAGTGTCTTAGAAGTGCCAGGGGTAGGCTCAAACTCTAGCATCCTTATATCCGTTACTTTTTTTTTAAGCTTCAACAGTTTTTCTTCCTATGACTCTCATTGACAGCCATTTTGTGATGCTGTCAGTGAGCCTTTCTTCAAAGTGCAATGCTCAAAACCCCAACCTTGATTGATTATCCTCAATCAAGGATAAATATCTAGTACTCAGTGCTTTGAGCTATTGCAATGTCATCATACATCTTGTTAGCTCTTGCAGTCAGGTAATGAAACTTTCTGGGGTGGATATTAATGATGAATAAATTCTGCCTTAGCTACAAGGATGTCTATTTACCTTAACTATGTTCAACTTGAATTATTTACAGTTGTTAGATCTATAAATATAATTATTTTAAGAGAATTAGCTTGTCAATTTTAATGCTTTTATATTTTGCGTTTTTTTAACATAATCATTTTGTATGTCTTTATAGACTCTGTTGTTGAAGAAAATGGGCTTAGCAAATCTACCAGAAAAAGACCACATGAAAGTGATTGTCAGATAGGAGTTTGTAAGACACGATACATCTCTCGAAAATTGCCCCACAGAAGTGCTACTGTGACTGTTAATAAATTAAAACTTATGAGCGATGAGGAAGATTTTGCCAATGCAGAAACTACTAGAGCCTACAGTAACAAAAATAGAAAACTGAACTGTCACAGTGTTGTTTCTGCAACTAGAAAGCAATTAGATAATTCAGCAGATGGAAGCCAACAGTCTGGTGAAGCAAAAAGGAAACAATACAGCAGGAGAAAGTGTACTCAGTCTTCCTCAGCTGCCAGGATATATAGTAGTGACTCTGAAATCAGTTCAGATTCTGAAAGTGCTGAAAGAAAAAAATGGCATATTAAAAAAGCCAGTAGGCACAAACCTAGAACTGCATATGAAAATAGTATAAATCCCATTCTGGAGAAAAGCCAACTGTCAAAGGATAGAAATCTTGATAAACATCCTGTATTTGCACATAATACTATATCCAGTTCTGAATCTGAAGCAGATTCTGAATTAGATCAGTACAGTGGGAATATTAAAAAACAGAACATCTTTCAGAAGACTGTAGACTCTTCCAGAAAAGCAAAAAATGAATCTGAGATACAGCATAAAGGAAATGGAACAGATTCTCTGCCAAATAGCAAGGAATCTTCAAAAAACGTAACATCTAAAGCCACAGTAGACTCCAGTTGCCCTTCTGATTTGGAAATTGAATCTTATTCCAATGCAAGCAACTACAGTGATGTCACACCACAACACAAGAAAAAGAAAGAAAAAACAGATGACACTAGGAAAGGTAATTTTTCTAATACTGATGTACTTTTCTCTGATAGTGTCCAAAGGAATTCTCATTCTCTCTCTCTCCCTCTCTCCCTCTCTCTCTCTCTCATTCCTGATATTAAGGATTGAATTCAAGAGATGTACAATTTATCTATTTTTGAAAAGGCAATTTTATCTGAAAATTAAAAAATAATGCAGTGTGTTTCCTTTGGTACAGATTTCATGATACTTTACAATAATAGAACATCCTCCTCTCTTTAACCTAGACATTTTTAAATATTGTTTAATATTTAACTCGTATGCTATAGGTTTAGTTAACATGTTGTAATTTCTTACCTTCTCTTCAGTTCATTGTTGCTTTTGTATGTTGGGGTTTGTGCTTCTTTTAATTTTTTTGTTTTGTTTTGTTAAAATTAACATTATTTAAATTTATTGGCTGCTAAACTCCAGTGGACTTATTTATTTAAAATAAATAATTGCAAAAAATAATAGTGTTAACCAAAAAAGATAGCAAGTAAGAAGCTTTGTGCAATGCAAAATGCACATAAGATTTTCACATACAAAGTTATGAATTAGGGAGAACAAAAAACTGCAAAGGAAGCTGAAGAAAATTTAAAGTGTCTGTTGTATTAAGATTATTGATGAATACTTGCAATCCCAAAAGTCACTCAGAAGATTAGCATCAAAAATATCTTAATGATAGTTGAATTTTGTAACTTCACTGTAGTTTTTAGTATAATGTAGCGTGTCTGCACAGTCGATGGGAGGAGTCAAGCCAAGCTATTAGGCAGAGTATACAAGCACAGTGTTGTGAACAGTAAATCAACATTTATACCAATTTTGGACTGATTATGATTAAAATTTTATCATTTGTCTTAATTTCTTTTGGAAATGCAATATTTAATCTATGAATTCTTTCTTCTACAGAATCAGTTTCTCAAGAGATGAACCAAAGTCCAATAGTACTCAGGAACAGAAAAACTTACAAAAGTTGTGCAGAGTTGAATAGCGTGGCAGTGAATATTAAAACTCTTAATGGAAAGAAAATTCCACGTCGAAGTGCTGCTGTGGCTGCAAGCAAAATAAAACTTATTAGTGATGCAAGGGAAGAACTCTCAAGCTCAGAAGTTGGATACTGTAGAAGAAAGAACAGAATACTTCCACTCCGCAGTGCCTCTGTTGCAGCTAGAAAAGTACTGGATGATTCACTGTCACTCTCAGATAGTGGAACAGAACTGAAGGAATGTAACATAAAGGGGAAAAACAATCAGACCTGTTCTTATTCAACTAGGCAATCTAGTAAAGAACTAAAAGCAAAATATTTAGGTGCTGAAAAAGAAAGTGTATTAAAACAAAAGAGCAGTCACAGCAGTGGCTCAAGACAAGATTCTATCAAAACTGTATGTAAAGTATATCCTAAAAGAAAACAAATTGCGGTAAAGCGTTCCGATGAAGAATCCTCCAGCAGTGTTACATCTGAGGAGCAAAAAAGTTCAAGTCAGGATAATGTAACAAGCAACTCTGCTGCAGACTCTGAACTAGAAAAGGAATATAATTTTAGAAGTAGGAGGAACACCAGACACAATATAGAAAGAAAGAAGAATGCTCTGTCAAAGAGTAGACAACTAGGCATTCCAGAGAGCTCAAAATCTGAACCTGATGGAAGTTCCCATTTTTCTTCTGATTCAGAAAGTCAAACTCAAGAGTCCAAAACCATTAATAATGGAAGCATAAAAACAGATAAAAGGAAGAGGAAAGCCACTCCAACAAATAAAAAGTTAAATAATGGCTTTTCTGAATCTTCCAGAATACCTCAGAGAAGGAAACGGCCAAAACTGAATGAAGAGAATGATTCTGATGAATTGCATTACACAAAATACAAACGAGTAAATCGACGTTCCAAAATCAGAACTAGAAATAGGGGCAGGCGAACTGTAAGGTATGCAGATGATGAAGATGATTGTGAAACATGAAGATCTAGCCCACTTTCCTTTTATTAGTGATACTAGAGTTATAGACATATGTTGGAACTTCTCTTCCTCTAATTCAGGGAATATATTTATATTTTTCTATGAAAAAGTTAAATGTGGAGGCTTTCTTTTGATAATATGACTTGCACTTGCCTGTCTGTGCACATATGCCAAAATGTGCCTCATTATGAAGGCAGAACTTTTGTCTTTAATGATATTTTGTTTGTTAATGTAGTAAGTGACGGGAGGGGATAAACATTAGATAACAGCTTTAATGCTGTTTGTTTAAATAGCATGGTGCTGCAGGCTGAGACTACCTATGTCATACTATATTAGTGTGTTCAGAACCAGATGAATCTATTGCGGTGTTTAATATTTCATTGATCAGTAATAAATAGAATTAACTAGTATATATTGTAAACAACTCTTAAGTAGTTACTAATTTTAAAGAACAAAAATGTGATAAATGGCTACCAAACATTATAGCAACTTGTAAAAATGAGCAGTGCTATTGATTTTGAAGGAGAAACAGCTTGAACTGATTGGTGATAAAGAAAATGCTTATTGATTTTATAAATATATGGATTAAAATTTGCTGTCATATATACCTTTTAATATATGGCACCCATGCTGTAAATTTGAGACCATTAGGATACAGGTGATAACTTTCTTTTTGTAAAAAATTGTGCTTTGTGCTTTTTCTTTAAAATGATTAAAGCTTTTGTGCTTTAGAGTACTAATATTTAAGGTGTTATTGGTAAAGATCAATGCCTGCTAGAGTTCTTCAAATTTAATTATTTATAATTCAGACTGTTGGTGCACTTAAACCACTCCACCTCTTGATTTAACAAAATAAAGCACCTTCATGTTGGTGGTGTTTAAGTTGACACTGTTGAAATAATAAAATAATTTCATTTTGTTGTAGCATAGAAAAAATGGGAAATACATGATGCTATGTAACTGTATACATAATGAGATGTAAGTGACTTCCTTTACAAAAGTACCATTACATCTTGGCTTTTTTTCTATAGAAGAGTATAGTCTTTAAGCCACCTCTTTATGAGGATGTTCTGTTGTTAGATATGTTCATTCATAGAACACTAGTTTTATTTTTCTCTTCAGGCCTCTTGAAATTTTATTTTGAGAACTATTTATTCAGGGTTATGTATGTAATATTTTTTATGAAACAAAACCCTGAATGTTGGTTTTGTCTTCCACTTTTTTGATTTCTCAAAATAAAATTATCCTGATAATATGTTTGTCTATTAAAACAAATTCTAGTAATCAGAGTTCTTTATTTTTGTATGTTAAGTTTAAAATGTGCGTTAGAGAAAAATTGCACATTTCTGAATTTAAAGTGAAGATGAATGTAGTAGATTTGTTTATTTAGGAACTTTTGAAAGTGTAATTTTGTTTCTGAAGTAAAAAATAATGAAATGATAAAGGGAAATCCCAAAGTCCAATAATTGATCTGAAGTGCACTGCTCGTAAAATGCACTTTTATTTGCAATTTTGGAATAATCATGAATTTTAATTGCTTGTGTTCTTTATATATTATAACAAACTAATACAGCGTTAAATAGTTTCACACAAAAATATTTAAGGTATTAGAATGGATACTGAATTTGCCCAATGACATACAATAAATGGAATGTTCTCAAATGACATCATTATTGTAGTAATGGCTGCAAATTACCTTGAAAAATCAGAGGAGCAGGAGTTCTTTTGTTGTCTCTTTGTGAACATTAGAAGACTAGTCCATGGTGCAATAACTTTAGTTGAATACTAGGTTTTGGTTGAATATTTTACTTTCTTTTTCACAGCAGGTGATACATTACTGCCATCTAGCAGTTAAAGGAGGCAAATGATATTTGCTTTTCATGTTCAGATTTTTAAAAGTTTTTTTTAAAAAATACTATCCATAGTTTATCTAGATAATGCTCAAAACACTTATGATTGGAAGAAGGCAATTATTTAAGCCTTAGATTAAAAGGTGACCTTTGGTTGGGAATTCTTGAGTTGCAGCTTAGTATACCTGGAAGGCATAAGATTGCAGATAGCTATTTTGCAGCAAATAACACTTGTAATAGTTATTCTTAGTGGCACCACCACTGTTTTCTCCCCCTTCTTGATTTAGTGTAATTTAGAGAAAGAAAAAAATTGGGGAAAGAGAAGGAAAAAAAATAGCAGATGGTTACAAGTGCAAGTATGTTGGGGTAGAAGCTTGGTGCTGCAACTATTTATCTTTGCGGAAGAGGGAGAATTCATCTGGTATCCACCATAAATCCAGTTGGTATGAGGGGGAGGATCCACACAACCTGTGCTGATTAGAATGTCAAAAAGCAACCCCCCCCCCCAAATTATAATGTCTATAATGGAGTCCTCTGCTATATAGCATAAAGGCATGGGGTGCAGAGGATTTAGCCTTTCCTTCCCTACTTGGGAAACAGGCCAGTTGAGATTAAGAAAAATCAAACTTTATTTTTTTAAAAAAGGAAAGATAAAATGTAAAAGTCCCTTTTAATGTTGGATATTAAAGTGCAAACAATTATGAGAGAATATAAACTACAGAGTTGCCCAAATCATGACCATTTAGTTAAAAGTCCAAAAGAAAATCCATTGCTCTGGTCTGACCACAAGATGGTGTGGGTCTGCTATAAGTAAAAAAAATTCTCTGAGAATCTCCAGATACATACTGGAGAGAATGAGTTCAGAATATTAGAAATCACAAGTGGATTCTAAGGAATAAAAGTGCATTTGAACTCAGCCTGAAATAAAAATAATGGTTGTGGAGTTGGACACCCAAGTTCATAAGTTACACAGAAAAAGAAAGGAGATGTGTAGCACAACAAAAATCAAAATCCTAACACAAATTATTAGCTAAATTATTTACCAATTTCTACAGTAATAGAATTTCCAAAGCAAAAGTTTCTCTACTTCATTTACTACAGTTTTCTGAACATTTCAAAATTAAAGGCTGTGGGGTATGATGGTAGTTTTGTGCTTTTCCCAACCTCAGAACACACATTTATTTACCTACCTACTTAGTTTGTACACTGCTTTGACTCCCAGCAACTCTGGGCGGTTCACAAACTAAAAAAAAAGAAATAATAAAAAGAAACAAAATTAATAAAGACAAAAAGAACAAAAGATGGCAAAACTGGGCAACAAGAGACATACCCACATGACTCAGAAGGGGCTTCAGTCACCCCAACCAAAGACTGGGTGAAGATCCAGTACTTCAACTGAGTTTGTCCAAATTCTCCTCTTGTATTTCAAAGGGCTAACTCTTTTCCAGCAGAGGCAGGATAGATATACGGCTGATATATGTATTGTGACTGGACTGCAGTCCAAGAAGCATTGGCAAGCAAACTACATTGAAAAAGCACACAAATTCAGACTGCCCTGTCTTCTGGGAGTACCTGTAAGGTATATAGTCATATTAAGATAATACTACATATTAATACACAGAACATGCAAACAAAACGCATAAATTACGTTGGTCTTATTCTTCCAGGTTTGATCTGAGGGGTACTGCATTTGGGCACAAGCATCTTGTAGTAGCTGGCTAACTCCAAGAACAATTGCATCTTTTCTTTGTAGGCTTCCAAAGTGGAATGATCCCATGGCCCAGGCAATGTCTCACATAGACTACCTGATAGACTAGTTTTGCATTTCGCAGCTTAATAATGGATCCATGTCCCTGTAAACTGCTGAGTAGCCCATTTACCAAGCTTTGAAAGATTCCACAAGCACTCTGAAGACAAATGGGAACACATTAAATTCAACCCATTGTGTGTGATTAACACTGACTTCTCTTTATCTTGTTCTATCCTAACCCATGCACACATGCAATTAGCCTTTAGTTACTTCCAGTGTGGAAATGCCCTTGATTCCCTTCAGCTGCTCCAGCATGTGAGACGTGCGGAATTGTTTTCCTACTTAGTCCTCTCTGGTCTACACAAATGGATTTCACCCTCTATTGGCATCCCTTTTTACACACAAAATCCATTCTATGTAGATGCCCAATGAGTGGAAGCCATAACTATCCCTATTTTTAAAAATTTATCACTCAACCAATTTATTAAATGTAAGAGTAAATTATATGCCAGGCATCTCTGTGTAAAGCTAATGGGTTGGAAGAATCAAGAGAAAATTCCAGTGGTAGAACAAGGTGACTTCAGGCCAGAATTCCCAATTTCTGATCAGGGCATCACATTCTAACATCTAGCCAAAAAATATCACCCCTGTAGAATTCTCTACTACTACTATTTATTTGAAACCCACTTTTGTTTCAATCCCCTGTGACCTACTATAGCTGTCATCTCTATCAATGGGTATTAAGACTAATTGTACTATTTAATTAGGACATCTTTATGTAAGGCAAATATTTGTTCACTAAAAAGGTGGAATTAGGGACCAGAACAAGTGGAGAGGCCCAAGTACTCTTAGAAGGTTGGTTTATCCCCAACATTTGTATCTTCTTTGATTTGACAAATAACACTTGATATGCTGACTTATTCTTACCTATGTCTATAGCATGAATGGCCTGATTGGAAATTCCTGCTTATACCTTGAATTGTTCATAATCTGGCATAACAGCACAGCACACTCCTAAGTGTCATGGTAGGAGCCTACAGAACATTTTTTACTCTGCAGTGATAACAAATTCCCAAATAAATATTAGCAACTCACATGCTCTCTAGCAGATCCCCAGTGATTCACCACTAATTCCCTGAAGCAATAAGGTTTGAGGGTGTTCGCATGGCACAATACAAGTTGAACTTGCTTCCTGGAAATTTTGACATTCAACTGGTCCACCATCTTTCTAATATGGTAAGAACCTTTCCGGGCTGCTTAAGTCTTGGTGTTCCCCTATCTGAGGATCTGATTTCTCAGCTTGAAGATGTGTCTGCTGGCATGCAAGTCATACAAGTTTGGTATCTTTTCTGCTTGGGTCTCAGATTTTGCGGGGCAAGGGACCAAGTCTCAGGATATTCTGTACCTGCTTTACAAAGTTCAAGATACTTGCTCCAAAAGACTTTCCCTCCCACTAATCAGCTCAGTGGCCCTCTGACATTCCTCCCGTGTACAGGTTTGAAAAGGAATTTTCCCCATGTTAGGGAGTAGCACCACCTTGTATGCAGATAAGACCTGTAGCAATATCAAGTCCTAATTGTCGACATGTTCTTTAAAAAGCGTTCTAATCACGGCACCCATGTTCCACTGAATTTCTTCACTGAGCCATTTGTTTGGTGGTGGTAGGGGGCTTATCTGACTTGTTCTATACCATGAGCAGCCCCTTTTCCATCACCCTGACAAGAAAATAGGCACTGCATTTGTCAGGATCTTCAGCAGCCACTTTATCCTGGCAAAACAAGGCCTGACTTACTCCTAGTATCAGTTCAGGTTAGAGGTACTGCCTTAGGTCACATCATGGCATAGTCCACAAGGATGAATATATATTAATATATATCCCCACCCACCGACTCACCCGACTCAGTATCTTGGGTTGGGTTAGATAGAGCCCAGGAGGTACAGTATATTCTCTCAAATGGTGTTTCGAGGACAAGCAAGGGCTGCAATGGTTCCTTCACTTTGCCCTTGCTGTTCCCTACTGTCTGGCAATTACCACTGGATTTTGCGTACTCAGTCCCAGTGCAGTAAAAATTTTGCCTTACCCTTTCTTTGGTTGAATCCACACTCTTGTGTCCATTGGAGTGGTCATGTGTCAAGTGTAAGATGTACCTATAAGACTTGCTGGATTATTGTATGTAGCTTTGCACCCCTCCTTGTATTCTTGTGGGAGATACTCCTGACACAATAGTCCTTACCTTTCATAAACCTGAAGGTCTTGTAGGAGGAATGGTTGTAGTGCTTTACCTCCCCTTAGATCCAGGCTCTGGACTATCTCTTCTCTTTTCAGTGCCTCTGCATTGCTACTGAGAACTGTTCCTGGCAAGTCTGCAGATCCTCTTCTTTCCAGAGGGTCTACTTCTGTGCTGTCTAGCTGTCTAACAAAAATCCAAACTTATAAGGGATGGAAAAGCAAAATGAAAACTAATATTAGTTATATATCTGAACTGTGGAATGAAAAACTGGAATTACCAATTTTGGAGAAACAATGGGTCCAGGTGTTAAGAAATGCAAAATGTATTTCTTACAATTTAAAAAATTAATTCAGCAAATATTATTTCATATTTATTGGACACCTTAAAGAAGATTTAAAAAGTGTTGGACTTTAGATTTTTTTTTTGTGCTGATATTGCAAGAAATTCAAAGGCTCTTTAACTTATATGAGCTGGTTCTACCTTCCGTATCTTTTTAAGAATATAAAAACACCTATAGCAATGGGTTTTGTTGACATTCAGATTCACAATGTGTTTAATTGCCACGTTGTATTAAATCAGGCAAAGAAAATGCTGTAGACAACAGAGCACTCAATGGATGAAAGGAGTTAATTGTATAAAATGCACCATAAACATCTCTTGCTTCATCCTGCACACTTAAAGAAGAGGAGAGTGTTTAGAATGCACAGCGCAGCAAAAGATTCCCACCCAGTTTGAGAGATTCCAAGATTGCAGTCACACTTCAACGAGAACCAAAGCTGGATTGGCAACATCTTACCCATTGATCTATAGGGGAGCACCCTGATACTTTG